TATATATATATATATATATATATATATATATATATATATATATATATATATATATATATATATATATATATATATATATATATATATATATGGAATCCTGCGTGACACTTTGGCTAGAAGCCAGTGAACCTGGAGGATTATTCCCTGTTTTGAATTATGACAACTTCTTTAAGGAAATCTACCATATCTATATATGAGCTCCAGTTACGAAGGGAACTTGCTAGCTGAAAACTTGAGTAAAATAAAGAAGAAGGGAGATGTTACTATGTGTTTATACATGCTCATTTCATATAATTGCCCTGTTTCATACTGATTCACTTCTTTATTGTAATGATATTATTGGACCATTAGTAAGTGTCGAAGTCGACCTCTCGTCACTCCTTCTTCGAGGTTAGGCGGGATAGTTACTGAGTACACGTTATTTTTGTACTCATGCTGTACTTGCTGTGCATTTTTGTTGCACAGGCACATGTACCTCTAGTGGCCTAATGGACGTAGCAGCGTGGATGATACAAAGACTTAGGTGAGCTGCATCTCTTGAGACGACCCGCAGCCAGCAGAGTCTCTTTCAGTGTATTATATTTACTTTCTGTCCAAGTTTGTATTCCGGACAGCTATTTTACTTTATTAGATTTCCTAGTAATTGCTCATGCACTTGTGACACCGGGTTCTGGGATAATTTCGTGCTTATTCAGTAATTTTTAATGACATCATTATTTATTCAGTGAAGTTTATTAATCATTGTTTAGTGTTTAGCGGAAATGATTTTGAAAATATTAAAACGAGAATTTACTAGTTAAATGGTGTTGGCTTGCCTAACAGTGGTGTCCGGCGCCATCACGATCCTTAGTGTATTTTGGGTCGTGACATTTTCTACCCATCAAACTAATTACATTTCCTACCCATAGTAGTTTCTGTGGAAAATTTTCTCTTTTTTCTCCAATTTTTTATTTATTTCTATGCTTCTTTTCTTTTTCCTTTTCTTCTTTCTTTTCTCCTTTTCTTTTTTTCTCGTTTTCTTCTTATTTTTTTTTTTTCTTTTTTCTCTTTTTCTATTCATTTATTTTTGCCCAAATCGTATTATTGTTATTTTTACCATAACTTATTTCACACTCATTTTGACTCTTTCTTTATTTTTTTCCTTTTATTTATTTTCTTTATTTCTTGTTCCTTTTTCTAATTTCATTTTACTCCTTTTTTCTTTTATTTTCTTTATTTCTTGTTCCTTTTCTAATTTCATTTAATTTCTTTTTTATATTCTTTTTCTCTTCATAATCTAATATCATTTACTATTTTCACTATTTTTTTATACAATAAGAAAAAATAACTGATATAGTAAATATTTGTTCACCTTTTTATATATAAATATAACTAGTATAATATACCTTTTTGTCTTTTTTCTCATTTTTTAGTCCAGTTATTAAACTGAAATAATATGAGTTGTCACTTGATCTAATTCACTGAATATCACACTGAGTGATGTTGAGCACCATAAATTACATAAACAGATTCTAAGAATCAACACATGATTGCGCAAACCTTGATCTCCATTCCTACAAATATCAGTACACACTCTACCATTAGCAGTAACACATCAAATTATGGAGCAAGAAAACATAATCTATGGCCACCAAAACTCCATATTACTAGTTAGAATAGAAATGATAATAAAATATTGGAAAATGCAATAAAAGTATAAGTAGAAAAAAAGACTTCTAGTACCATATGATCCAATATAGTATACATATATACCAACAAAATATATGATTGTTCTAGAATATTATTACTACTATCTGCGACTATACTACTGTACCAAAATATTAAAGGATGCAATAAAAGTATGAGAAAATTACTTGCTCGCATTGCAAGCTAAATATTTGCAAAGCAACTTGCTCATTCTGTATACTTAATAGGGTATATAGTCGTATGGGATCGTTCTAACAGTTGCCTATAACTATAAAAACTATTAGATAATACACATAATCTATGTCTATTAGCATAAAAAATTCCAGCACTCCAAATCATGTTCATATAAATAATTTCAGAATAGAATTCACTTAAAAATGCAGCTAAAATAACCAAAAAAAATGTTTATACTACCATATGATACCAATATGGCATATAACTATACCAACATGGTATACAATTTTACTAGTTAATTTCCGGCAACTATATGACTATACTATTATTACATAACACACATGCATAAAGAGAAAAAAAAAGTGTAACCACATATTAATATAATAAAGNATAGAATTCAATTAAAAATGCAGCTAAAACAACAAAAAAAATTCGAACAATCTTATGATACCAATATGACATATAATTATATCAATAGGGTATACAATACTACTATTTAGTTCCAGGCAACTATATACGACTATATTACTATTACATAATACACACGCATAAAAAGAAAAATCAAAAAATAGTGTACCCCATATTAATACACTAATATATTTCAAGATATTGTACTATTATGTAAAACAAACGGATAAAGAAAAAATTAAAATGATTACATAGTACACATGCATAAAGGAAAACGAAAAAAATTCAAGATACTATACTATTCTACTATTACTAAAGAAAAATCAAATAGTGTACTAATTAAATGTAGCTGATACAACCAAAAAATATTTCAACCAACATGGTATACAATTGTACCCAAAGAGTTTAAAAAGATTTTTTTAATTCAATTAATAAACTGAAATAATATCAGTTGTTAATACAAATTTCAAAAAATTCTAAAAGGACCTAGTTGAAAGAGTATACTATTACACAATATAGTATACTATAATAGTATATCATTGGAATGAACTGTATACCAAAATGGTATATAGTATATCATTTTGATATACAGTACAAATTCTTCTTTGCCAGTTCAACGCAATAAATTATACACTATTGAATTAGATACTATATACCAAAATAGTATATAGTATGTTATTTTAGTATATATAGGATCGGTAAATTCCTTCAAGATATAGTAATATACTATTCTAGTTAATTATATACCCTTGAGTTAATTATTGAATACCAATACAGTATACAATATAATATTTTGGTATACAATACAAATATATCTTCTTTGCTAGTTCAATTCAATTCAACACAAATGTTAATAATCTACTCTAAAATTTCACCAAATTGACTCTTTAAACATAAATTTAATATTATAACATATTTAACAAATTTTAATTGTGAATAAATTATAAAAAAATAGAGTAATATTTTAGATATTAAATTACTTCGATATACAGAAGAAAAAGAAAATTTATAAAAACAGTTTTTCTATTAATTAGGTTTTAATAAAAAAGCTACTTATTTTAGTATTTTTTTTAATTACTCTTGTTGTAATCTAATTATTTATTTCTATATTTTTGTGAGTCTAAAATAATAATATACTATATTTATTTTTATTTTTGATTTTGGAAAGAAAAAACGAAGGACAAAAAAAGGGAAAAGATAAACTAAATCAAAGGACAAAAAAATAAAGAAAAGAAGAGTTGGGAGAAAATAGAGTTTCTTAAAAAATAATTCTTGGCACGGTGAAATAAAATTTAGTATTAGCTAATTTACTTTCAAAATATGTTATTAAATGTATGAGCATAGACATTGATGGATACCTTTTCATAATCATAATAATAATAATAATAATAATAATAATAATAATAATAATAATAATAATAATAATAATAATAATAATAATAATAATAATAATAATAATAATAATAATATCTTTTTGTGCTCTCCAAATTCATAGTCTCTCCGTTTCAATTTATGTGAACCTATTTCCTTTTTAGTCCGTGCCAAAAAGAATGACCTCTTTCCCTATTTGGAAACAATTTACCTTTATGCAATGATTTATAGCCACACAAAATATATGTGCTTCATTTTACGCCACAAGTTCAAAAATCTTCTCTCTTTTCTTAAATTCCGTGCCCAGTCAAATGGGTTCACATAAATTGAAACGGAGGGAGTATATATTTATAATATTATATATTATTTAATAAATATTATATCATATTATTTTTAATTAGTATTATTATGATAAGATGATAAAACGTATTAGGAAGATGTGATGCACTTAAAAGATACAACATAGATACATATGAATCTGAGAACATGAACTTTCATGCTAAACAATGGCAAAGATAAGAATGGGTAGAGCGGGTAAAACAAATATGCCATATAGGTATAAAATGTAAAAGAAATGAACATGGGTAGATACAGATAAATATTTTATCTTTTATGGGTATACAGCATAATTTGCTCTGTAAATATTGCTTATTCATTAAAACTTGTGAACAATTTCTCAAATTGGTTGAAGTAAAGATAGTACCAAGTCTTGCTCGTCAGGATAAAATTTGTGAATAGTTGAACAACAAAACTTTATTCAAGTTTTATTCATCCTACAAAAAGTTTGAATAATTTAATGGATAAATAGAATATAATACCAAAGTTCTACCACGCCCAGCAAAACTTAGGTGCAAACCAAGATTTGCCCATCCAATAAAACGTGTATACAAATTAATAAGATAGATAAAATAAATATAAATATTAATTATGCCTCGCTCGACAAAACTTCCAAACGTGTACACAAAGACTATTTTCACAAAACTTGGGAGCAAAATTGAAACAACGGCCTCAAATAATACCCGGCCCCTGAACCATCACATTAAGCGTTAGCCTGCAGCAACCCGGACAATGGTCCCATCTCTTAGCTCGGCCGGTCCACTTGACATGCATAGTTTGCTTTCCACTGGTCCGGCCGCCATAAAAAAGAGGGACCTCTCATTAATATTCCAATATAGAAACAAAGTTTTGCTGAAAGAAGAAAATAAATAGACAACTGTTTAACATTTGCTACTATTTCCTTTTCCTTAGCTGTCAATCCCTCTTAAAAAAAAAAAAAAAAGTGGCTTTATCGTAGTTTCTTCGAAACTCAAGGGCATATACAGTTCTGCCACCTTCCAATATATAGACCCAAAAGAAGTCAATTGCCCTTGCTCATCGGAGTTTTACTGCTACTAGTACACTCCAATCCCAATACGCAACAGTAGCGGTACCGGAAAATGTGCTCCACTAAGCAAAAACAGAAACAAAATCTCCACCGGCAGCGCTCCGCCGTGCCTGTCTCTACCTCCGCCGTTGGCGGCGGCGATGGAGGGAACTGGAGGGAAGAATCCATAACCGGCGGATCACTGAAGCATGTGGATTTGGACACCGGAAAAAACGGCTGGGCATCACCGCCGGGAGACTTATTCAACCTGCGAGGTCCAAACTACTTCACGAAAAAAGCGAAAGTACCTTCAGGCGCGTGGCTCCTACAGCCCGCCGGCGTCGATTGGCTCCGATCCAACTCCAAGCTCGACCACGTCCTCGCTCGTCACGACAATCGCGTGATGCACGCGCTACGGAAATCTCACTCCCAAGGCAAGTCTCTCAAAACCTTCATACTCGCCGTGAATCTCCAAGTCCCAGGGCGTGACCACCACAGCGCCGTCTTCTACTTCTCCACAAACGACGATGAGCCGCTCGAACCGGGTTCGCTCCTCTACCGGTTCGTCAACGGCGATGACGCGTACCGTAACAGCCGGTTCAAAATCGTTAACCGCATCGTGAAAGGACCGTGGATCGTGAAAGCTGCAGTTGGGAATTACTCGGCTTGTATACTCGGAAAAGCGTTGAATTGCTACTATCACAGAGGCCCTAATTACTTTGAAATCGACGTGGATATCGGAAGCTCGGCGATTGCGAACGCGATTTTGCACTTGGCATTAGGGTACGTAACGTCGGTGACGATCGACATGGGGTTTTGTGTGGAGTCGCAGACGGAGGAGGAGTTGCCGGAGAAGTTGTTTGGGGCGGTAAGGGTTTGTCAAATGGAGATGAGCTCAGCTACCTTTGTTGATACGACATCGTCCAGGAAGGTATTACCCGCTACTGCTAATTTACATAATCCTATCGGTAGTAGCAGAGTCCAAGCTGAGGAGAACGGTGAAAATGAAGAGGATTAAAGAAATATTTATTTTTATTTTTATATTCTCTAATTTTGAAGGAAATTGTTGGTGGAATCCATGTAGATAGATGTCTAATTTTAAGCTTAAGCTTTTTTGTCTAATAAAAGTTCCTTTCTTCCACTCATTTACTTTGTTTTCTTTGTATATTATTTCAGTTTCTAAGCTTCTGCTGTGCTCTGCTTATTCCTGTTGCTACAAATTTTCTCAATAGGCATAACTATTAGACTCGCCCGCCAAAAATGTACAATGTATGAATACTCATCCAAAATGTATTCAATAAAAACGTTATATTGGAGTAAGGGCTACTAGTATTATTATTCACCGATTATGATTAGAGCTTTAACAAAACAAAAAGCAGTTTAACTATATAACTAGGTGAAGTGGAAAAAATACGTTGCAGATGAAAAAGAAATAAAAACTAAGGCCATCTCCAAGGCTAGCACCATATCTTGCACCAAATTTTATACCAAAATGGTGTAACACCAAATTTACTCCAACCATTACACCATTTTTTACACCAAATATTCTCTCTCTTCTATATTTTATATTATTATCTTCTATTTACTTTCTTTTTAAAATTTTAGTTTTTTCTTTTCAATTTTAGCAACATTAGATATCTTACATTTGCATTTTTTATTTTTAAATAATAGTTATATTTCTTTTTATACAATTATAATAATAATAAAATTAACTTATAATTTTATATAAATATAATATATACAAAAATTAATATATCAAAAAATAGGATATAACATTAAAATTATAAAGATCTTAATATAAAAGTTAATTATATACACAATATATGATAAACTAAAAGTCCAAAAAATAAAAAGATTGAATAAAATAATATTAAACCAAATTTAGAGTGATGAATATTGTTGCACCAAATTTGGTGCAACACTATTCATGCTCTATAATAGTGCAAGAATTAGTGTTGCATTGGAACAAAAAAACACCATTTCTTACACCAAATTTGGATTTGGTGCAAGAAATAGAGTAGCCTCGGAGATGGTTAACATTATAGCCGTAGCATACTAGTAACGTTTTTCTTTCCAATAAAGGCTTTTAACTTTCTCCTCCATTTGTGTCATTATAAGGGTACTTCTCTACAGGGGCGGAGCTAGCGTGAGTCACGCGGGTTCGACCGAACCCACTAATTTTTGTTTAAATATGTATTTGTCTTAAGATATTCACTAAATATGTAAAAATTATTAATTTAGAACCCCGGGCTAGAATTCCGAACCAATAAATATTTAAATCTTGGCTTCGTCTCTGCTTCTTGTTGGACCAAAAAGTCTTAGACCTTTCTAATTAAGTAAAACGATAATGGGTAAATTCTAGTTAAACATAATAAGTTCTAGATCCAAGATTGATGGGAAGTAACAACCTAGAACTCGCATTTAAAGCTATTTGAGGTCGAAAAGCGGTTTAATGATATTTTTTTGTGAATGAATGAAGGAATGAGGACAAGCAATAAATATGAGAAATGACAATAAATGTAAATAGGAAGAACAATTCACCCAAATATCAAATGATGTGGAAGATTCTTCCCTATGACAATGAGACAAGGCAGAATATAAGTAATATACTTTCTTGGATCATGTGAGTGAAAAGGAAGAATAATAGACGAAATCAATCACTATAGAAAGGTAAGCTTTTTATATTCTCTCAATGGTCAACTTCTTACCATAGTTTTCTTAAGATTCTATCTCACGTGCCCCTTTTCTTCTTTCTTTCTTTCTATTTATATGTGATATTCTCTAAAAACTCTAAAGAATACAACAAAGGTAATATCTAGGAGAATATTCCTATCACTAGTTTCGAGACTACACTAGTTGTAATTCGTATTCTTCGCTATTCGACCTCGACCTCTACGGCTCGCTCGACGACTGCTCATTGTTAGGCTTTGGTCGTCCTCGTCTTACCAGTCCGAATCAGAGCACAGTCTTTCACTTTACGTTCTTTCCACGCCCAACTTTCTCAACAAGATTTTGACCCATACAGTTTGTCCCTCCGCTGGTCGGGGTTGCCTTTTGGTCGGCCCCGATGAGCAGACCTTTTCAGTCGCTGACCTATGAAGAAGTTTTCTTTGGGTGTGATGATCGAGTAGGGGTGTCCATTGCCGAAGCAATGACGTGTCATTTTGGGATTCGTGGGTTAGGGGGCAGATACAGAATGACATCACAACACATGCATCATCATTGCGCATCTTCCTGATGCGTTGCCTCGTTCCTCGAGTCCTTGTCGTTTCGATTCTAGGGCTACTGGCAGTTGTGATATTGGCGAAGTTTGCGGAGCTCGCCGGCTGCAAAGTCTCCATCCGCCATCTTCTGCACCTTTTTGGGCCGAGCTTTCATAGAGGCACGATGGTTCACCTTCGCCACCGTGGAACTAAAGGGTTGGTGTCGGGGATGGACGACAAGGCGAACCGCTGGTTCTGAGCCCATTATTTCTTTGTCAGAACCGAGCACGTGGTGGAAAACCCTAATGACTTTCCAGAACAATGGAATTTCGCTCGGAAGTATCGTTATTTGGAGTACGTCCTTCTTTACCTTTCGTGATTCGTGACTAGTTGCGTCGTTTTTTCCTTTTGCAGCTGAGAGGCATCCCCCATCTTTGGTTGCTGATATTAGTGATTGGGTGGCCCGCATTTTGCTTCACACCGTGGGTATCTGTGACTGGTCGTCCTTTAATAAGAAATTTGGGCTCAAGCCCTCGACCAGTAAGTCGGGCTTCGCCCTTATAACTATTTTGCTTTTGCCATGGTGCATGTCTTTTTTCATTTTACGATTTTCCTTTGATGCTAGGTCGGAGAGCTTCTAAGAAGTTGAAGGCTCCTGTCCTCGCATTTCGTCAGGTAGTTGCTTTGTCTGGGATACAGTTCGTGCTGGCTGAGTCAGTGCGAAACACTTCTTCTCGGACTCCGATATTGAGTGAGCCTGGCTGTCAGACGGCCACCCCATCAGTGGAGATCCCAGCTTACCCGGTGGTTCACATAGTAGATGAATCTTCCACTGGCGAGGAGGAAGTGGCGCCTTTGAAGAGGCGACGAGTGGAGGTCGTGGTCATATCTGAACGGGCCATGATCGTGGATATGGAGGCAACGTGCACTTCTGCCACGGGGATTGCTCCCCCGCCGGAGATGGTCGCTGAAGCTAGGCCATTGGAGACGATAGAGGCAGCCGCGGAAAGGGAAAAGCCAGTGGCGGCCGAGGTTGGCTCATCGTCAGCTGGTGGTAGAGGAAAAGCGGTCGCTGTGGAAGATGACTGTTCTGGTTCTGAAATTGACCCTGAGGAGGTGTGACTTTCGAGGAGAGATTCACTCGAGTGGAGGTGAGAACTGAGGGGTCCACTAGAAATATTATCATCCCTGTGGATTTTAACTTGTTAGTCAACTCGAAGAGCGTGGTTCCAACTTTGGCCCCTTTGTGTGCGGAGCCCGAGAATAGGACCTTGCAGACGCTGAAGGACGAGGACTTATCATTAAGCATTTCCGGGCTAGCCCTACGAGTAAGTCCTTTCTTATCGTTTTGATATCTTCATTTTACGTTACTTGTCCTAGCTGACCTTTCTTTGTCTGTTTATCAAACCCTCATCTTGGAGATTGAGAGCGCCCGTCGGGAGGAGAAAAGAATGAGAGTTTATAAGAAGATGGAGGCGAAGTATAGAGAATACCGTACCAAACATAAAGCCCTGGTCCGTATGCTTGGTGAGGACGCTCTCTTTCCGACCCTCCGCGAAGATCTGAGGCAGAAGAGTGAGGAGTTGAAGGCGAAGGATGATGAGTTGAAGGAGAAAGATGACGAGCTCATGAGGATTATTAGCAGGTGTAGTGAGCTTGAGGAGACATTAAGGGCCAAGACGATGAGCTCGAGGTGAGCAATGGGGTCATGGCCGAGTGCGTCAATCTCCAAGATCAGGTGACGTCTTTACGAGCCGAACTTGAGCAGCGCGAAACTGTGGTTATTAGCTTAAGGGATGAGCTGGTTGCCCAAACTGCGGAGTTGGAGCGAGTTAAGAGAACTAGATCGGCTGCTGTGCGGAGGCGACGGTGTTAGCGGGAACCTTCCTCGTCTTCAGGTCTGAGCGTGCTAGTGAAGCAGTGACCTTTGCTCTCAAAGAGGCGAGGCTCGAAGAGCGAATTGGCGGATTGGAAGGAGACGTTTAAGAATTAAACAAGCAGGTAACTGTCCTTTAGGCTGAGAAAGCGCATCAGCAAGCCCAGTCGTCTACCTCTCATGCTTCCTCTTATTCCAATGTCCCAAAAGATTTGTACGAGAAGTGGGTCCATGTTGAGGCTCATCTTGACATATACCGAGGTTTAACGGCAGCGGGGAAAGCCTCTGCGACGGAGCTTGAGGATCTCGTGTTAAGGCACGTGCAGCTCATTCCACTTGTAGCTATGACCCTGGTAAACCCGTAACGGACGATGACGAGGAAGATGTGGACGAGATTGAGCTAGATTCTTGGTATGAAGATGAGTACTTGGATGGCGAGGGTGGAGATGGTGCTACTGGACCAGGTGGCCACGAAGGTGATGTAGTGTAGTTTGCTTGTACTTAGTTTTTTCCGCTCTTTTTGTTCTCTTTTTTTGTGGGGGGGGGGGGGGGTTCTTTTTGGCCCTTTGTAAGATACTCTATTTTGGAATGGAATGACTTATCTTTTTGCTGTATGTTTTGGCTCTTTCCATTTTTTCTTCGTATGTTTTTTCTTTTGTAAGAGTTCTTACCTTTGGTTGACGTGATCGAGGTTAGATGTCGATTAGTTTGATCGAGGTCGACGTTGATTGATTCGAACAAGTCCGAGTGTTAATGAATTCGAACGGGGTCGAATGTGAGTTAATTCGAGCGAAGTTGAATGTGAGTTGATTCAAACGAGGTCGAATGTTTGACCCTTTAAGTTATTCTAACAAGGTCGAATGTAGACAAACTCGGGCGAGGTCAAATGTAGATGAATTCGAGCGAGGTCGAATGTGAGTAAATTCGAGCAAGATCAAATGTGAGTAGATTCAAGCGAGGTCGAATGTGAGTTGATTCGAACGAGGTCAAATGACTGACTCTTTTAATGATTCGGACGAGGTCGAATGTAGATTAATTCATGCGAGGTTGAATGTAGATAAATTCGAGTTAGCTCGAATGTAGATGAATTCGAGCGAGGTCGAATGT